CAGACCTGGGCCTGACCTCGGCCAGACCTCGGCTAGACCTCGGCCAGACCTGGGCTAGACCTTGGCCTGACCTCGGCCCTTCCCGCGGCAGGCGCGCTCTTGCACGGTGACCCGGCCGCGCGCAAGACGCTCGCCGATTTGGCGGAGGCGTTGCGGCCGCACGTGCCGCCGCCTTGCGAGGCGCTTTTGGAGCCGCTCGTGGATGCGTCGCCGACAGAGGAGGCGAAGAGCCGGCGTACGAGGAGGAGGAGGAGGAAGAGGAAGAGGAAGAGGAGGAGGAGGAGGAGGAGCTGCCCGGGAGCAGCTGCGGGACGATGTTTGCCCACTCGGCGAGGCCTCCCAACGAGGGCGGCAGCGTGTCGATGTAGAAGAAGGTGCCGTCAGTGGTCTCGAACGAGACGTCTTGAGCCTGCTGGAGGTAGGGCGGGGAGGCAGTCTTGCGTGGCTCGCAGTCGCAGCTGACTACTCCCGAGTGCTAGTTTGGAGCTCTGGGCCACGTCTTCAGCATCTAGGGTCGGCCGCCGAGCTCCCGCTCGGCTTGGCCCTCGCGGGCGGAGGAATGTGCAGCATCGACGGGAGCGTGCGCAGGCGGGTGATGGCTCGAAAGGGCGCCGTGAAGGCGGAGCAGAGGCGCGGAAGCCCGAGCAGGGCGTCCTCCGGATCGCAGAGGGCCTCGATGTCCGCCGGCGTGGCGAGCGCCGGCGTGATGAGCAGCTTGAGCAGCGAGCGGCCGGCGCCGCACCGGTCGGAGAGGGCGCCGTCGCCGAGGCGGAGCGAAAAGTGAGCGGTGCCGCCGCCGCCCGTCTGGTCGGGCACGACCGCGACCGGCGCGGCGGGGAGGAGCGAGGCGCGCAAATGCCGACCCGGGGGCGCATCGAGCAGCAGCGGCGCCTCGGCCGACTCGGGCACGAGGAGGTGTGGCGCGCTGTCGAGGGTGGCCTTGCGCGCGCCGGCGGCGACGAGGGTGGCCTTGAGGAAGAGGGAGGAGGGGAGCGGCTGGCCCTCGGCTGGGATGACGCGCACACGTAGCGCGAACGAGGCTTGGTTGGAGAGCACGCGGGTCGCGCCGATGGACACGCGGTGGTCAATGTCGAGCCGGTGCCACTCTTGCGCGTCGACCTTGAGGGAAATGCCCTCGTACGCCTCGCGGTCCGGGTCGAGGGAGGAGCGGAGGAGCGAGTCGAGCGTCGCGCCGAGGTCCTGGCGCGCGGGGGGCGGGGCGGCGTGTCGTGGGGGGCGCTAGAGTGACCCCAAAGCTCTGGGAGAGAGGCGCCTCCAGCTCCGCGGAGTTGAACTCGGCGGTGAGCGGCGGTGCGGCGGAGGCAGGCGCGGCGGCGGCGGGAGCGGGGCTCAGCTGCTCGTCGCAGGAGAGGAGGCGCTCAATGTCGTCGAGGTGCAGCGTGGCGGGGCAGTCGGGCTGCATTAGGCGAGAGGCCGTGTTGGTGTTGGTGGGCTCTGTCCATCCAACTCGAAAAAAGAACAAAAAAACCCCCCTAGGTGTAGTCGGTAGTTGTGACCCCCCTCTGTGCTCTGAGTGAGGACAGGAGAGAGAGAGCTTTTGTGGTGTTGGTGTACGCAATAACGGGACAGGGTAGTCGTTCTCTCTAGCTCCCCTTCTCTCTCTCTCTCTCTCTCTCTCTCTCTCTCCCCTTCTAGCTCTTAGCATGAGCTGCGCCCTGTGTCCGACCCCTTTTGCGCAGCAACACCTTAAACTTTTAGGCCCTCCAAATTCGGGTCGGACCAGGTGTAGGTTATTTTTGCTTGGGCGGCACTCATGCTGAAATTCTGGAAAAACCCGGCCGGCCCCTGCGGTGCCCCTACCTACCTACCTACCTACCTACCCTACTTATGGGAAACTAAAAAAGAAATCGCTCGAGGGGTGAAGGTGGGGTACCACATACCAACTAAAGTGATGGTTGGTGGTACTCTCCTGCATCCACAGTCCTTCTTGTGACATGGCAGGCCACTCTCAAGCCCTACAAGCATCAGATCACCCATTTGGGGAGGGTTGACATCGTGATTTTGGCGGAAGATTTCTTTTTCTGCTGTGAAAATTCCGGCGTGAAGAGAGGGAAAAACCCAACGGGAGGGCCCAGACCTACCCTACCTACCCCGGCATGAGTGCCGCCCAAGCAAAAATAACCTACACCTGGTCGGACGTCGGAGCGTAGCGGAGTGGGCCCCGAGTTTGAAAAGGGCGACGGACGCTCGCGTCCTAGCCTCCAACAACGCCTCCCCGGCGCAGAGGCCCCCCCGGAGGGATGCGCAACCGCTCCACGCCACGCCGCTTGCGGCGGTCCTCTTCCCAGCCCGCCGGGTTTTTTGTTTTTTTCAGCTTTCGCGCCTAGACCTCGATCGCAACCGCCATGTCGTTCGACTTCGCCGCGCTCCTCTCGCCTGACAACGCCGTTCGCAAGTCGGCGGAGAGTCAGTTCGAACAGTGCCGCCAGGCGCAGCCTCAGCTCGTCGCGACGCAGCTCGTCGCCGCGCTCTCGCAGCCGGGCGGCTCGCCGACGTCTGAGCTGTGCGCCGTGCTCGCGCGACGGTACCTGCCGCCGCTGTTTGCACTGGCCGAGATCCACTTCTCTCTCGAGGCGCGCGAGCACGTCAAGGCGGGCCTGCTCGCTTGCCTCGGCTCCGCCTCGCACCCCCCCTCCCTCCGCCGCAAGCTCTGCTCCCTCGTCGGCCGGCTCGGGGCCGAGTTCCACGCCGCCGGCTCCTGGCCGCAGCTCAGCGCCTTCATCGCAGCCGCGTGCGCGGACGGCGCCGCGCCGGAGGTGCACGAGTCGGCCCTCTCCGTCCTCAGCCACATGGCGCCCGCCCTCGTCGAGCCGGCTGCGTGGGCGGCGTGCGGCCAGTCCGTGCAGGCGACGCTGGTCGACGGCCTCGGCGCCGCTCGCGCCCCCGCGGTGCGGCAGGCGGCGCTCGCGTCGCTGGCGGCGCTGCTGCGGACGAGCGCGGCGGCGGAGCAGGAGGCCGAGAGGGAGCTCCGCTCGCCCGCGGACGACAAGGCGCGCAAGGCCGCCAAGGCGTCGCGCAAGGCGCAAAAGGCCATCGGCCAGTCGCTCGGCGAGGGCCTGCCGGCGATGCTCGGCGCGCTGGAGGGGGCGCTGCAGGCGGGCGGCACCGACGCGACGGCGGCGCTGGAGAGCCTGGCCGAGGTGGCGGAGAACCAGCCCCGCCTCTTCAGGCCCGTGCTGCCGCAGGTGGTGGAGGGGATGGCGTCGCTCGCAGTGTCGGCGCAGCTGCCGGCCACGCAGCGGATCGCCGCCCTCGAGGTCGTCGTCACGCTGGCGGAGACGCAGCCCAAGCTCTGCCTCAAGGTGGAGGGGTTCGCCGCGCGGATGGTGTCGACCCTCCTCTCGCGGATGGTCACGCTCGGCGAGGATTGCGGCGAGTGGGACGAGGCCGAGCCGCCCGACGGGATGGCGGACGACGACTGCGCCGAGGACGACCTCGAGGCGGGCTACGCGGCCGAGGCGCTCGACCGCGTCGTCAGCGCGCTCGAGGGCGCGGGCGTGGCCGAGGCGCTCCTGCCGCAGCTCGAGGCCCTCGCCAACGGCGCCGCGTGGCAGCAGCGGCACGCCGCGCTGGTGGCGGTCGGGATGGTGTGCGAGACCTGCGCGGCGAGCCTGCTGCCGCACCTCGCCGCCCTCCTCTCCCTCGTCGCGAGCGGCGCCTCCGCCCCCGAGCCGCGCGTGCGCTGGGCGGCCTGCTTTGCGCTCGGCCTGCTCTCGGACGAGTTCGAGCAGCTCAGCGCGCAGCACCACGCGACCGCCCTCCCGCTGCTGCTGCGCGGGATCGGAGACGCCTCGCGCCGCGTGCAGGCCGCGTCCGCCCTCGGCGTGAGCAACCTCGCTTCGCAGATGGAGCGCGAGGCGCTCGAGCCGTACGCGCAGCAGCTGCTCGCTGCGCTGCACGGCCTCCTCGCCGCCTCGCCGCCGCACTACGTCGCCTTCGCCGCCGCCTCGACCCTCTCCCAACTCTTCGACACGCTCGGCGACGGCGTGGCGCCCGTGTACGCCACCTTCATGCCCATGCTGCGCTCGTACTTCGAGGGCGCGATCGGCGCCAAGGCGCACCGGCTCGCGGCGGCGCTGCTCTCCGCCATCGGCTCGCTCGCGGCGGCGGCGGGCGAGGAGGCCTTCCAGCCCGACGCCGAGGCGACGGTCGCGCCGCTCGTCGAGCTGCTGCTGCGGCAGCGGCCGATGCTGTGTGAGAGCTCGCTGCTCGAGCCGCTGCACGCCTGTCTCGCCAGGCTGGCGGCGCCGATGGGCGCGCCGTTCGGGCGCTACTTTGCCGTCGTGCTTCCGACGCTGCTCGAGGCTGCGGGCGTCGAGCCCGAGGTGCAGACGGACTTGGTGGAGGAGCAGCCGGCCGACGGCGAGGAGGAGGAGCACATCGACACGCACTACGTGCCCAACAAGGGGTGCGGCTTCCTGCGCGTCCGCGTCAACTCGGCCCGCACAGAGGGGAGGGCGGCGGGCGAGAGCACGCCCCACGTCCGCGACTCGTCCGCGACATGTCCCACAGGCCCAGATGGAGGAGAAGCTGATGGGCGTCTCGGCGCTGCACGAGTACGCCGACGCGCTCGGCGCCGGCTTCGCGCCCTTCGTACCCGCTTGCGTCGAGGCGGCGAGCAGCCTGCTCGGCTACAAGTTCCACCCGCGCGTGCGCACCTCGTCCGCCTTTGTGATGGGCGACGCCGTCAAGGCGCTCGTCGCGGCGGCCAAGGCGGGCGAGCAGGGCGGCGAGGCGTCTGCCGCCTCTCTGGTGGGCTCCGTCCTCAAGCCGCTGAGCGAGGCTGTCCACCGCGAGAAGGAGCTCGAGCCGCTCGACGGCATGCTGTCGGTGCTGCTCGACGTGCTGCGGCTCCAGCGGCTCGAGGGGTGCGCGCTCCTCTCGCCGCCGCAGCTCAACGGGCTCGTGGCGCTCCTCAAGCACGCGCTCCACCTCGACGCGAGGCGGACCGCGGCGCGCGCCGACGCGGCGGCCGAGGAGGAGGAGGGCGAGGGCGCCGTGCCCGACGAGGAGGCGCGGCGCGATGGCGGAGGGGGGG